AGGCAGGCGCTTCATCTGGCTACAGTGAGAATGATACGCTGTGGGGGGGCCTGCTTGGTATGACACCCCCCCCCCCCCACTGCCCCGGGTAGATAGAGAAGTTTGGGGTGAAATGCAGAGTTAATTAACAGGAACGACGGATAAAAGACACAGAACTCCTGGAAGATCCCTCATATGCACATAGCTTTGTAGGTCTCTGGTTGCAGGAAGACAACGGTGTTTGGCTCAAAGGGTCCTCGAGCGAGATCCTCAACCCCACCCAAAAAATGCTCCAGGGGCGCTGGATGAATGTCTGACCGTGCGCTCCGACCCCAAGCTTGGCTTTTAAAAAGGAGAGCATGATGGGATACGTGAAATCTAACACATTCCCATGTACTTGTGCAAAAGGCAAATAAAGCTCCAATTCATCCTTCATAACCAATCTTTAGTTAAACAGCACCATTTCTAAATGACATCAGTACATCACAGGGGCGAGAGTTTAATTTCAAGGACAGAAACTAAGAGTGTGTACGTTCCATGAAAAACATGCAATTCAACAAAAAAATGTGTGCAAATAAAAAGGTTAACTAGAAAAATGCAAGGAGAAGTGGACAGATCCATGTAAATTAGTTTTGCTTTACATCTTTTTAAGTTAGCAGACCTTGGTAAAGCACTCGTTCCATGCCAGGTTTGCATAAAGACAGCGTTTTATTTAGATTATAGGTCTAATTCTGGCAAGCTCTTGGGCACATTGACATAAATTCCTGGTGTCACCTGACATCAGCAGAATGCCAGGCTTGCTTGTTTTTCAGGCCTTTTTAATAACCATTTCAAAGATTTCCAAAAACAACACGGCTCACACGCACAGGTACCCCCCAGCGATACATGACAGATGACAGGTGCGCAGACAGAAAGGCACCGCGCAGCAGGCACAGTCTGTGCAAGGGTGACACCTGGTGGCCAATTTATTAAACATATCTGGATATATTCCCTCCAAAAGACACAGGAGTTCGTTTTTTTGTCAACGTATCCATGCACAGCGAAATAGTGTATTGAAATACTGTTCCCCTATGGTAATGCACATAAGTACAAATATAATAAATATATGTATAAAGGTATAGAAGATTCGTGATGGGTTGGTGCCACATTCTTGGTGGTTCCCTGCCTTGTGCTCATAGCCTCCAGGATAGGTTCCGGACAGCCCGCAACCCTGAACGGGATAAGTGGTTACAGAAAATGGATGGATGGTTTGAGTTAGAGGACACAGAAGAAATCCATCCATCCACCACTCATCACAGGGTACAAGGCTGGGGTACATGCCAGACAGGATGCTAGCCTAGCATGCTATGGCCGATTTAGAGATGTCAGTTAGCCTAACTCAGGGGTAGGTAGTCTCATCCAGAAGGGGCCATTGGGTATGCAGGTTTTCGCTACAACTCTCAAATTACATTACTACTTAGAGGACCAATTGGCACAACACTACCATTTCAGCCACCATGCCAGGCTACAGCGAGCTCAATAGTGATTCAAGACTTACAAATATGAATGCAGCACTGCTTAAGCAAATACGAAACATGGATGGAAGTGTATTTCCAATACGTGGTCATTTCATTGGCTGACCATCTGTAAATCTATACACCAAAGGCATCATGAACCCTTGGCTACATCAACCATCTCCACAGCACGCTCAGCAACTGGAAGGTGCTGGAGGCGACAAGCTGGCTCCACGTACGCAAGAGTCCCAGTGGAGCAAATTAAGATCCTGGAGTTTGAACTCTGGCAACAGAGAGTCATGTCCTGTATGAACCAGGACAACATTTGGGGCAGAGATGCTCAATATTTGATGATAAACTATGGCTCCTTGGGATGCTGATCAAAGGGAAAATTCTCTCTCAAGACGGCAGTAATTACTAATGGAGAAGCCTCGATGTTTAGGGAATTCGAGCATCACGCACCGCATGTAAACGACGTGGCCAGGCCTAGCGGCAGCTCTCAGCGCTTGCGGACCACCGCACGAATGGGGGGGGTGGGTGGAGAAAGGCTTCAGGATTTGACACGTCAGAGAGTTTCTATTCTGGGACCATCACAGCGAGATATGTGCCCAGCACACATCGCCCTCTTAACCAACTTGACAGATTTTGAGCTTCAGTAGTTCAGTCTTGTAATCACAGTTAGACATTTCTCACTGAAGCCCCTCAGTGTGAGGTTCTGTGGGCAGAGTGATTTCACTGTCGGGCCGTTCAGCGAGGCCCTTAACCTCAGTTGTTCCAGGGACTGACTGATTCTGTTTTCTCAAAAATGTATGTTGCTCTAGATAAAAGGGTTTGCTAAATAAGTAAGTATACTAGCTGCACTGGCCTTATTCCCAGTAACTTAAAATGAAAAACTCTTTTTCACAGGCCTACAGGGCTATGAAACCTACGCAGGAACGAGCATTTTGAAGAGGTAGGCCACGTTCTCGAAAAACCCCATCTTGCCATACTCTCCAAACCACTAGCTATTAAATTTTCTAATGCGCAACTGAGAAAATCCCTTGAACTGCCAGTCACTGCTTGCTGGTAAGTATCGCCTTTAAGCAGCAGCCTCACAATCTCAGCTAAAATGAGAGGGTTACTCATAATATCCTCCAGGCGGCGCTCTTGGACAGGCTAGCCGAGTTTCCAATAGTTTTGCGCAAATTTTAGGTGACGAAGTTATCTTGTGAAAAGGGTTTCCATTAATGGATGTCATGCAAATAATACATATCATATATCACCCTGCAGATAAAGATCCATGCCTCATGAAGCGGGCTTTCCATGAGTTAGTACAGGTATCCAAAATGGCATAAAGTGAGAGGCAATTACCATTAATTTATATGGGAAAAATTCCTAGACCCAAAAAATAACTCACAAATCATACCAAATAACACATACAATTGAAAACAACACTAACATACAGTAAAAACAGAAATTATATAATCGATACATAGAATACATAAAGTAGAAATAATGCATCAGTGTAGTTTCACTTACCAGAATGAATAGGGATGACAGGGATACGTTGTGAGAAATGCATCGTTAGGCGATTTCGTCATTGTGAGAACATCGTAGAGTGTACTTACGCAAACCTAGATGGTATA